AGTTTCAAGTTCCAGACATAAATATTTTGAATGGAATTCGCAAAAAGGCGACCGTTTTCGATGGTCCTTGGTCCGCGAGTCTGGTCCTTGGTCCGCGTCTCAGGTAGGCAGCACGATAAAAACCTAAAAATGTTATAGTTTCCACACGAAAACGTGATTTTCACAGTTTTTCTTGTATTTTTTTCTTTTCTTGATGCAATTAAGCTAAATTTTTTTGCGAAAGATGTTGTGAGCATAAAATAATCTGCTTTTCTTTCAAAGACTTCAGACAACAGTCTCCTCGAGTCTCCCACACGAGAGTCGACGAGCGGTTTTCAGCGAGGTCGAAAATAATTGTCAAAAACTTTGTATGTACTCGAGGTATTTAAAAGGAGAACTTGTAGACATGTATAGGCCGTCGCTTTTTACTTTGGAAAGTTTTATTCAACCAAGGTCATAGGACGCGGACCAAGGACCGCTAAGCGAAATTTGGTGATATTTTTCAAGAGTCGCTAAAACAAAAAATTCAGCGTCTACAGCAATATGCTTCCAACAGCAGAAATAAGATGATCTGAAAACCTGTTCTGAAAAAAGGCAAGTCTTCCCGTTGCGTTTTAGTTATTCGCAGGCTAAGTAAACTTGACCACGTAATTTACCGTGCCGCAAAAATCCAAACTTCAAGAAAGACAAATAAACCTACCTGTCAACAAACTTTAATTTCACGTCTTCACCCGCAGCAAGAAGGCTGAAACTTCGTGATATGAAAGAATGCTAATCAGTAAATCACGATATCTTTCATTATTCAACGTATTTTTTTTCTTGACGAAATATTTTATCATTTTCGGAAAAGACGCGGACCAAGGGCATCGGGGACTTCCGCGGACCAAGGACCACATACTGTACACGGACACCAAATCAACACATTAAACAACAGAGTGAGTATAACGATTCAATAGTCATAAGAGGCGCTGCACATTTACTCCTCCTCGTTCTTGAAGCCACGATAATAAATAGACTTTGATTGTAAGCTTATTTAGAATACTTTGATCTTCCTTTAATGAAACAGGCCGATATATCCACATGGAATCTCGGGCGCGATCCATTCAACCTAAATTTCCGGAAATTTCGGTCCAAAACTCAATGGATCGGTTCGGTCCAACCGGAAAAGTTTCGGAAAAACGGGTCCACCTTTTGAGGTGGACCACTTCTCCCGGTCGGACCGGTTGGAATTTTGGTTGAATGGATCGCGCCCCTCTTTTGTCAATGTAAGCTTAATATTTGCAGTTAAGTCATAAATAAAATTAGCGATGAAAAAAAGTATGAAATTATTTTCTTATTGACCAAAAGAAGCGTAAATAATTTTACAAATAAGAGTACGAATTCGAATCGACCGAAAGCACAGGGTCCAGAGGAGATGTGTTTGTCGTTAGAACATCAACACTCGTCGAAAACATCTGAAATGATGGGTTATTTTGATCGCGTTGAAGATCGCGTTCCCCTGATCGCGTTACAGTTTCGTTACACATTCTGTATACCGCAAACCAAGAGACTGAGGGCTCGCGTGCCTTGGTCGCCCTTCGGGCGACGTGCCGTGCGCTAGCGAGGCTATGGCTTGTGGTTATTGATTTTCAAAATGGAGAACAACAAAGTCGATCTGGGTCAGATAAGAAGCGAAGAAATCGTTTACAGTAGATTCATAAAGATCCCATTGGGCTAATTAATCGTGCTAAGCGGCAAGTATACTCATTTTTCAAGGTGAGACTTTAATTAAGTAATTTATTTATTCACACGAAACTCCTCTGGACCCTGTGCACAAGACTGATATTTGTGTAAGCTTAACTTGTGGATATTTTTTAAACTTAAGCCTTATTTATTACCACACAGGGCCATAATGTTTCACAAATGTTTGGAAAAAAATCGTGGTCAATTAGAGAACTGCACGCACATGTTTGTTCAAATGTCGAGTTACAAGCACTGCACGTTATTAGTTCTTCCAATTCAGTCTTTAGGACTCCTATTTAATAAAGCTCACTTAAATTTATTGACAAAACTGGTTATGTTGATTGCTAGTATTTGTTGGAGAAGCTTTAAAACAGGCGAGCGGAAATAATGATAATATCAATATGCCATTGATACTGAATTTTTTAAGCTAACATTTCTCAGTAAATGCTATATTCATGAAATAACTTCTTGGTCTAATCTATAATTGCATTGATTCACAAGGACTGTGTTGACATATTCAGCATCCTGGCTTTCTTATTAGAAGTAGGCAAAGATCATAAAAACAAACCGATGACCAACTCCACTTATGTGAACCTTAATTATTAGTATTAATTAATATTGTACTCAAAAATCTAGCCATTCTTTGATTCCCTGAAAAATACAGTATTCAAAATTTTACATCACTTCTAAACCACCGTCATACACTTTGAGAAAAAAAAGTTTCATCTGTTATTATTAGAGGCAGGTCATTATAACAGGGTTATTTTAATTTGGCTTGCAAATATACAGTTTGAGATAAAAGGTGAGATATGATTGTGGACCAGAAGGGTGTGCAGTAATGCCAACTGAACTTTACTATGGTTTTTTCCAAAACAAGTGATATTTTTTCTTATTAAAGATATGTCTCCATGGAGAGCTAACCAACATTACTTAAAGCAACTGCCACTTATGCCTGTACCTAGTTCAAAGGGACGGCCCAATGGGGGATCAGGTTCAACTGTATAATATTGCCTATACAGCACATAGTGTTGATTCATAATGATATATGAATATTTAAAAAACAAGGAATCTGGGAAAGTAAACAGCATTGCAAGTTGTTTAACACAACATTTTAAATGACAATCAGCACACTTTTGCCACATGCTGTTAATATTTTATGTTCTACCATTACTCATTCAAAATTTTTGTGGTCTCTGATTGGCTCCTAGCCTCCGAAAACATCCATTTCTCCTCACTCTTCATCGCTGGGGAAGTTTCATGAGGAGGAACATCTGCGACTCAGTGACAGAAATTCCATACTGATGACGTAAAATCTGTCTGGAATCCGGTCAGAAGCGCTGATTGGTCAACGGAGTATGGTTACATTGTTTTAGCTACTGTTTACGAATGACAGACAAAAGACAAAAGGCCACAAAGGTCAAATGTAAAAGCGAAGAATCCCTAACAAAACAGTCAATATTTGCGGAATATAGTCTTCTGTAGAAGAAGCATTTGAGTTTTGCTGGAGCTCGTTGGCAGATGACAGAAACTGAACATAGTGATGATGATGATGTCCCTCTAAGTGCCTCCTTGAATGAATCTCCCGAATTGACGGTGAAAGAATTCAGGGATCATGTGATTGACAAATATTTTCCTGAGCAAACCGTCAGATCTAGTCATGACTCCAACATTTTGAGAGACATGTTTAGATATTTTAAGTCGAGGCAGTTCAACCTGAGGGCAAGGCCAAATGTTGTGTTTGACAGTGAAGATGGGATGGATGCAGAGGGACTTACCAGAGAACTTTGCCTCATGATGATGTCCAGCATGCGAGATGGTAAAGGTGGCATCATTCTTTTTGAGGTAATATATCAAACATGAGACGCAGTGTTTCATCACCAGATGAAACACCGAGAAGAGAGTTGAAAATACGTAGCGGAGTATTTTTGACGAACTTCGAGGTGTTTCATCTGGTGATGAAACACTGCGTCTCATGTTTGATATTTCTTCTCAAACAAAGTCATTTTTGAAGGAGAAATTAAGGATGCAAAAATGAGCAGTTTTTCATCCGATATCCAAACACTCATTAAACATTAATATTTCCTTTGAATTTTCTTTATGAATTATTAATGAGTTTGAGAAGGGCAGATAGACCATCTCATTCCTGTACATAATAAACAGTATTTAGCTTCCCAATACTATAAGTATGCAGGTCAGCTGATAGCATACTGTTTTATACATGCTGGGTTTGGTATAACTGGATTGTCACGGGCCATAACAGAATATTTGAAGACTGCTGAAATGAATGAGTGCCTTCCATATGTCTCAAAGGATGACATCCCTGACCTGGATATACGTGAGAAACTAAAACAGGTAGATCCTCTCCTTTTTGCCCTGGATATAAACATTTGACAGGCAATATTAACTTTGTTATTCTTACAAGAAAGGAGGAAGTACAGGGGAATACTGCCATGACTGCCAAACAAAAACTATGGGTGGTATATAAATAAATAAATTATATGTTCAATGTCATTCCAGAATAGAGTTTTTTTGAATAATTTTTGTAAGTACCTTGCTGAGTGAAATAAGCTGCTCTTAAAAGTTTTTAGTTCCTTAATATCTCAGAGGCAGCTAAAAGGTTGGAGAAAGTGGTCTTCCTATAATTAACTCCCTCTGCCCTCAAAAGCCCAAAAGCTTTGAGTCTCTGATTTCCAAAGTCTATAACCTATCATACAATATTTTTGTGTAAAACTAATATTTCCTCTTTGATAAGAGGCAAACTGCAAGAGGACAGTCATGCTTCCATTTTTTCAGTTTAATATGGATATACACTAGTAATAGGGAGCTTAAGCAATGACGATGGCAATGTTAACAGAAAAGGGCAAAACAGCAATAAGTTTAGATTGGTAAAACAACAACTTTGCATGTGCATGTTGTTACTTGAGTTCCTTAATCTTTAGTTCTCCATTTATTTTTATCAGGCAGCAGTCTGTTACAGTATATTTACTACAGTTTCATATAATTGAGGTTTCTTTCCACTTTAGATGCAGGATGCTGAGAGTGAGGAGACGTTGTATAATGCCGTTTATAAGGATAACAGCATATAGCTCCTCCTCACGCAAGCAGGCTTTGCCAATGAATTGGTCAAGCTAAACAACAAACACAGAGCGTGCCAAGCAATCATCCTCCACCTTGTATTCAAAACGAGAAAGGAGGAACTCGATCAGTTAAAAAGTGGTCTTGAAAGTCTCTCTGTGATAAACTTTCTCAAGGTTTCTGAGGGCTCTTTAAAGTATGTGTTCCCTTTACGAAGTGAAGCAATGGTCACCAAAGATGACTTCCTAAAAGTGATTGAAACATCTGTTGACTCTCTGGAGGGTGATGAGAAAAAAGCTTATGATTGGTTTGGTAACGTTTAAACTTTATTCTTTTGTATAATGTGCAGATGACACAACAACAGTCATGACCCATGAAATAGAGTACTGCAAAAGCCATTCAGAACTTTTGAATGTCCTGTTAACACTGGCCCAGAATACAGCATACTATTTTTTATAAATTATTTATAATGTGCTGTTGGTTTAAGCAAGCTAGGAATAGGATGTTATTATTTATTTTTTTGAATCTGAGTATTCAATTTGAAACAAAAAAATAAACACACTCGTTACAAAAATAAATTTTTACACAATGAACCAGGATGTACAAGTCCACTTGTTGAAATTGAGAGAAGCATAACTTACAGAATCAACTTCAGAAATGATTCTTTTGTTTGGCAATACAGATGAGAAGTGTGATGTCATGTGACCGTGGTATCACTTTTTTCTGGATGACAACAAAACCAACGACAATGGTGATGGAAAGGAGATCGACAAAAAATAATATGATTTTATTAACAAACAACAACTTTGCACGCTATTTGGTACATTTCTTTGCCGTCGTTGCACCACTACGACATGGAACTAATTAACTAAAAAAAAAAGTTTAAAAAATTATCGCTTTCATTTTCTAAACTTTGAAATTGAATAAGATTGGTGAATCTTGAAATTGTGTGAATAGACTTTTTAAGTGTCGTTTTCGGTTTGTTGTCTTCCCAAAATTTTGCTACCATGGAAACGTGACGTAGCAACCTCTCCCCTCTATTTTGTGATTCGTTAGCCTGCATTATGATCATTATTGTCCCCATGTTCTCAGTGTCAACTGAGGCAAAAGACCAGCGTTTCAGTTCACTTCCAACACTGCCTCAGTTGGTTCAGTTTGTGGCAGGACATCCTTATCTACCTTCATTTCGGATGAACATCAGTTTCAGTGCTATGGTGTATCCAGATGCAGATACATGTTTCTTCAGCCTTCGATTACCCACTATCTACAGCAGCTATGATGAATTCAGGAAGGCCCTTAATACTGCATTACATGCCAGCATCTTGGTTATGGAAGGGGTTAAAGGCTGGGGAGTCAACAAAAAAAACCTGTTTGTTTTTTAATAAGGCATTCTTCAGTGTGGAACGTTTGTTATGTTAAGTTCTGTTGCTCAAAATAAGACGAAAATTTGTTCCATGTTGTTTACCAACAAATTTGAGATCTTTACTGACCTAATCTTTGTAGGGTAACATAGATTGATTTGATTGAAAATTAGACTTCTAGATTTGACAAGACTTGAATTTAATTGTTTGATTAATGGTTCAAAACTTTTTGAGTTGAAGTTAATTGCTGTATGGTATTGAAATAATCATGTATTCTTGTTTTTTGTTTACCAGTAGTTGACAGTATTTCATTAATTTGGTGCATGCTAGGAATGTTCCATTATATTATGACGTTGATGGTGACAAAGTTCATCCCAGAAAGTAACATTAAAAAAAAATGAGGGAAAAAAATTTCACTCTAATCCGTCTTACCATAAACAACCCACATTTTGTTGCTAGGGTTGTAGCTCAATGGTGTATTCCTGTATGTGGCTACTCTCTTAGAGAGACTACTATTCCCGAACATGATTTTCCATCGAAACTACCTGATGACCTCCTGATCTGACATGCGGGAACCAGGACTAGTGAATTTTGCTATGGGGCTTGTAAATTCTGTCTTTTACTTGCCCAACACAAAAGTGAAGTGTTTTGGGGAATTAACATTACAGGGGAACTGTAATCAATCCTGCTCATAGAAATATAGTTCGAGCTAGCAAAAATTACCCTTACCCTAGTACAGGCTAGCTGTAGCTTGCCCAAATGGCAAGCTGTAAAACTGAATTTCCTTGAACCTTGAGCAATTACAACATTTGAGCCAGCAGCGATAATGATATTCGTTGTGGTCCATTGTTCTGATGTTTAGTTCTCTCTTTTATCTTGTGGCTAAAGGTTGCCAGTAACTGTGCTGATGCCTGTACAGGGATAATTCATTGCTAAGAAACCATAATTGCACTTGTTAAAAGATGCCTTTACTGTTTCTCAAATGGACAACAAAGGCATGAAGTAATTTGTATGTTACAGTTAAGTACAAAAGCCAGGTTGGTTAATACATAAGCCTGCTGAGCTTTTCCTTAGCTACATCCCTAACATTGTTCATTCAGACATAAGACAGACATAAAAAGGCTGGGGGTATTTTTTATTTCATGCAGTTTAGTGACACAAAACTAGCTAAGGGGAACTTCTACCTAGGCACTACATGTCACATTTCAAAGAGTCAGGTAAAAGAAATTACTGTTTTGGAAAAAAGTCTGGAAAAAGTGTGGAATTTTGGATTCGTAAATCTGAACGAACCCCGTAAAAAAGCCAAATTTCAATTAGTTTAGACTTTTACTGACATTTCAACAGTTTTTAACATTCCTCTATAAATGTTCAATTCTTCCAAGTACTCCCAAAGCTATCAAGTAAGACATTATTCCATACTCATCTACAGGCACTGCAGAAACCTCCTGTCTTAGTAATAGCACTTCAGCATTAGACAATTGTATGGGTGATTCAGGAACAGAAACTGTCTCACTTACTTCTATAGAGGGTACAGGACCTTCCTCTTCAATACCAAACTCCACAAAATTTAAATTTTCACCCTCAATAACGTCTCTGACTGCAGATAACTGAGAGCTGCGTAGCTGAAGCATCCCTTGTGTCCACAGCTGCCTGGGACTGTAGTTTGATTCTGTTGTGACAGGATGGTCATTCCATTGTCGTGATAGTTCACTAAGTGCTACATTTATCAGTGGAAGAAATACGAAGTGTAGTGCATAAATATGAGTCTCATTGTTAGGGTCGAAAGCCCCCCGTGCTTTCCAAGAATAAAAATACATTCAAGAATCTGGATACTACGACTCTGTTAACTTCTCTCCATAAGCGTTCAATCCGTTGATTGTGTACTGAATTTCCAGTTATGATACTGCCCCTGTTCATTCCTCTTGTTTGTATCATAAACCTTCCAACCTCTACATTTTCCAAACCCCTGTCACTTCCTACTCTTGATGGAACATTGTAATAGCTGATAGCCTCCCTAAAAAGTGCCAGTACAGTACTTGCACGATTATTTGTGGCAGCATGAAGATAGACAACTAATCTTGAAAAACCATCAATTCCACCATGTATCACAATACGCTATGGTTCAATCAACTTATGGTCACCATCGATGTGCCTGTGAAAGGAAGGCAGGGGTGTAAGTACTTCTATATAAATATACTAGGAACTTTGGCCCGGTTAAGAGCCCAATTTACAAGCAATATAAACATGCATGGAGGTCAATCCCTAGTAACAAATTATGCCTGTTCTCTTGGATTTCAAACAATTTGAGGCAAATGGTCCAAATCTGTTATGAAAATAATCCACAAGGTTTGCTGTAAGAAAATGTTACATGTTATTGTAGTACCTGTGTAAAAATGAATTAAAGCCATTTTTAGAGGCTACCGTAAAATTCTGAAAATAAGCCCCGGGGCTTATATTTTTCAAAGGCCCTTTTGGAGGGGCTTATATTCGGATGGGCTTACTGTATTTATTCGAATAAGCGCCCAACCTCGAATTAGCGCCCACCTCGAATAACCACCTATCCTAAAGGCAGAAAAAGTTAATGAGCACCCAGCCTCAAATAAGCGCCCATGCCCACGCCCACCCCCTCCTCCTTCCAATCAAACTCAAATAAGCGCCCACCCCCACCCCACCCACTTGAGTGACAATGACATTGAAATTGAACTTGAATAAGTACTAATAAGAGACTTCCCCGAGGACGGAGTTTTCTTCAGAGTATTTGACAGAAACCTTGCTTTGTTACTTCTTCGCGTTTTGTTATTAGCATTTATTGTTTTGTTACAAAATAAACATACTACACTTGCTGAAAATGGTGAAAATTTAATAAGCACCCAGCCTCGAATAAGCGCCCACCTTGAATAAGCGCCCACTCTCTAGGTCCAAAAATTTAATAAGTGCCCAGGGCGGTTAATCGAATAAATACTGTATGTACGGAGGGAAATTTGCGTTTCAAAATCGATTGGGCTAGCTTGTAGTGGGAAGGAAATTTACCATTTTTGCTTTGTTTTACTTTGTATTCAAGAGCAAATTCCATGTACAAGCCCCCTGGGGGGCTTATATTTGGAGGGGCAATTTAATGGAGGGTTTGTTGCATTACGATTTTGAGGGGCTTATATTTGGAGGGCCTGGAAAAGGGAGCGGCTTAATTTCGGAATTTTACGGTATTTTATTTTAAAAATTTGTAGCAACTCTGATATCATGTTTGATTTGATCCCAAAGGGGGAGTGGGGGCTCAACCAAGATTTGAGTATATGTAGGTGAGCTGCTGAAGGTTGGAAGCCCTGACCCTGTTTAGGCCCAAAAAAATTCCAAATACACACCCTGTTTAGGACAACACTCACAATTTTTTACCCAGTTTAGGACAAGGGACCAAATGCATACCATTTTATTTTTAAGTTACTGGCAATTAAAAAAGGACAAATTTATGTTATAACCAGTGCATTTGCATACTTGGAGCAAGAACAAATTTTATCTAGCAAATCAACTCAATCATGCAGGCAATACCCTGTTTATAACCAGACGCATGACGGGCTTAGGCTACAAAAAAATTCTAACCAGGAGGTCTTCTAATCTCGTAAATTACTTGTCACCGCCTGCCGGAAACAATCAATGAAGCCCTTTTTTTCTCTCAGTATCTTGTTTCATTTGTTAGATTTACTGCCGATTAATTGTCTCAGTTCTGCAAACCAGCAGTGTGTGCAGCCGGTTTCTGTTACTCTCTTCTTCTTTTAACTCCAAATTATCAGTGAATCCAAGTTGAGTGAAGTGGTGCATTTTCAAAACATCCCAAGGACGCCACTCTCTGGAGAGAGCTCAGGAAGTAAAATTTTTCCCCCAGTGGAGCGGTGAGGGACAAAAATCCGTTATGAGCATGAGCAGTGATATTTGTAACTTCTGCACATGCGCGACCGGATGTCAGAAATTTTCTAACATCCGGTAACGGCTGCTTCCAGAGCCCCTCCTTTCCCTACCACGTGACCAAGAAACGACGGGCTCTGGGGACGAGAATGGAGAGATGTATGGTAACAGTCATAGTCATGGAACATGTGTATCGTTGGAAATACCATTCATGCATAAATTAGTACAGTAATTTCAGAGTCTATATATGAATGAAGATATATATGAGCTTAAGGGACTTGTCAGAAATTAGCAGGGGGGGGGGGGAGGAAACAGAGGGAGGGTCACAACTTTTTGAGACTGCAGAAAAGGGAGGGGTCATGAAAAATGGGCCGTTAAAAGGGGGAGGGTCATGCAAATATGTGTCCGTGATCATGTAGAGGTTCACCCACAGAAGAAAAAAGAAGTTCTTTATTTTGTAAAAAAAAACCTGGGGGAAATAGGAGAGTCAAGTGATCAGCTGTCAGAATCAGAGTCGGACTCTTAATGCTGTCATCTAATATGTATTTATATGGGCATTACAAAGAACAGATTAGAAATATATTTTGAGCTTTCACTGACTCACCCTAGTGTATTGCAAGAACTAGATTTTATTATTTATACAAGAGGGGAGGGTTATGATATTTTAGGCCAAGGTCAAGGGGAGGGTTAGCAAATGTCACTCCCATTGCAGGGATGGGTCACCTCATTTCCAAAACCAAATTTAAAATACCCCCCCCCCTTCCCCCTGCTAATTTCTGACAAGTCCCTAAAGGTGTACATATTGCCAACTTTGAAGTTGATCTTTGTTCAAGCACTGTCAAATCAAATGCTAATAATTACCAGTGTTCTTGTAAACAGTGCTGCGCTATAGCAGTTTATGCAATGTGTTACTCTGTTATTAACCCATCAGTAGTAGTACCGGTACCAAAATGTGCAGACTTTGTTTTTGGGACGCAGGTGGGTTCACATAGTCATCCACTTCCCACCTGAAAACAAACTCTCCACATTGCTGCTACTAGAACTACTACTTAGAGCCGTTAGAAAATGTAAAACAATCCGCAAACAAAAGACAACCGCCTGGACCAACCGCTTTGAGCACGGCCGTGGCGCAAGCCAGGCGAGTCCACTGTTGTTGTTTAGTACAAGGAAAATTACCACAACGAAAATATGGTGAAACTGACAGCCAATGAAAATGAAATAAATGCGCTCAAGATTTTCATTTTGCGGATCTTTTCTTGCGCTTCCATCGCCCTGTAGGTAGGAACCACTTTATCCACTAAGGGGTTGCTGGGGCTATTGTCGATGTCGAGGTCGGGCCAGTTGTCAGGTTAGTTTCACAAGTTTTCCAAAGAATTTAACGTTTTTAGCAGGCTAGAAGTAGTAGTCTCCAGAAGCTCCATTTATCTCGACACTTTGGCGCGCCTCCGACATAAAGGGGCAACAGCCTCCAAAGCCCCCTTTAATAAAATCATGTCCTACTCTGCAGCATACATCTTTTTAGTCATTTTCAGCAAGTGGACGCCAGCAGGCGACGTTAATGTCTGGGTTAGTGCAGCCTCTGGCTCTTATCTCCGCACTTCGGCGCAAAAAGCCTCAGCGTCTTCCGTTATTTTTGGCATGTCTGCGCAAGCAGGCTCCGTACACCGCAGAATGTCCACGTCCTTATGACTGGACGTGGTTGTATGTATTATGTAAAAACAATTTATGCTTCGGGCGTGAGCATCCTATTATCACATTAACGCACACTATGCGTAATGGCCGGTAAAAACTGCTGATCTGAGCAGCGTAGTGGAATATATCGCCACTGACACAAATCGGGGCCCTTGAGTTTGCCCTCAAACCCGTGTTTTCCCAGTGAGAATCGACCAACGCGACCCCCGAGATCCATAAAATTTCCGAAAACCAAACCCGCAAGGGGGTTGGAAAAATTTGATCCCTTTCATTCGAGGCATTGTGAGACCCCAACTTTTGCGGCGCAAGACCTTTTTGCTGATGACGAAGAACAAGCAAGGGCGCCAACCAAGTGGATTGATATTTTGGAAAGACGTGCAGAAGCAATTCTTCCACCTCGCCATGAGACCCTGATTGCCGAAATTGCCGGGGAGTTCGAAGAGGAAAGGGGGAGAAGATTCACAAAATGGCGGGGTTTTAATGATGTAAACAAAAATTTGACGACCTCAGGCATGTTAAGGCATGGGTCACCTCATAATTTGCGTAATTTGGCGACGTGGCATTTGAAACGGATTGTTTTGATCAGTCGTCATGAAACTTGGCAAACAGTTTTAGCTCGGTAGCCTTAACAATATGTGACATATTCATTGTTGAAATATTAGTCACGTGACCTGCAAATGATCGTCAACAGTCAAAATGTTCAAATTCAAACGGGGGAAAGGAAATGAAAGAGCAGCAAATATTCTTAGGCACCAGTGTTTTACCCACGGCCTGGATAGTATGAAATAGCCTTGCATGTACGCCTAAGGAAAGCAATGATTACGAAATATAGAAAAACAGGTTACGTGACTTATAAATGACTTTGATAACTCTTAATAAAAATACTTTTATCAACCCAGCAAGGCCAATTGACAATCCAGACAGTTTGGCTGACAATTTGATGACAAGTCTTTTTAGCCTGAAGTTTAACAGCCTTGCGCCATTTGAGAAAAAAGATTTTGTGACGTCATGGTCCAAGGAATGTCACGTGCTGCTTGAGATGAATTTTCCAAAACTGTTTTAGAGAGATATATCTTATTATATGTTTGTGGAACCCTTTTTCTGGATTCTTCTGCGTCATTAAAAAGATCTTTGCCTTCTCTGTGGGGGGTCTTTTTAGCCTTTCAACCCATGCCTTAACTTGCCTGAGACGAAGGCGTTTCAGAAGATGGAGAAAACTGAGAGAAACAGTTTTACCATCAAACACAATTATGTCTATCAGCTTCGAAGCATCAAGACGGGGGACACAATGGCCTATTATAAAAAAAGCCTCAGAAGCCCCTGGTTTGACAAAACGTGGGTCCCCAGACTGGTTGAAAGAGCAAGAAGAAAACCGCCTCAAGGGTGAAAACATAGATCGCCCTAACACAAAATGAGCTTTTGAGGATCACCTCGTGGATGAGATAAATATTATCGAAGACCCTCAGGCTCCTTTGTACGTTTGCTCGATTCGCTTCGAAACGAAAAAAGCTCGTTACAAGGTTGCCGACGAAGGCACCTATTTTCCCTCGCGTTTTAATAGACTTTGGAACCCCCGAGATGAACATTGGTCTTTACCAACACCACGCTTTTCTAATCACAAATCTTAATAAAGTGACATACCACTATGCTTGTGCCGAGTGTTAAGCCAGATTTACGCAAGGTCCGCAAGTTGACAGCTTGTGGCGACATGCAGAGGTTTGAACAAGAGGAGCCACGAAAGTGGTGTGCCGAGAAGAGAAAAACTGGTCGCCCGAAACAGCATATCAAAGAGCGTTTTATGGGAAGAGGGCTTTTGCTGGAAAGGCGTTAAGGTGGATGGAGCACGAGGCCCGACGGCGAGGTGTGCATATTCATCAGCAAATGTGTGGCCATGGTGGGGAAAAGGTCATTGCTGTCTATCGAGTGGATGGTTTTTGCCTGGAAACAAACACGGTGTTCCAGTTCCACGGGTGTCATTGGTATGGCTGTCCTAAGAGTTATTCAACACCCCGAAAGAAATTGGTCGCTTTCGAAAAAACCAAGCAAGTAAACGAAAATTAACAAGAGTTATGCAGTATGCACGAGCCCTGGAAAGAACAAAGGCGATTCTTGAAGCGGGATTTGAATTGGTTGAGTGTTGGGAGCACGATTTTCATGAAAGCACAATTTATTTAAAAAAGAACACGGAAACCGTTCCGCACGCCATGGTTTACGATTTCGTAGCGTGGCTGGACAAAAGCAATTAACGCAAACAGGTAACAAAAGACCTGCTGTTTCCAAACGAGCAAGTGCCCGCGTCTGTTTCGCTGGGAGATACTCTAGACAGAGAGCCAGAGGATATCGCCAGCAAAGATCCGCAAGGGAAGTACTCGAACGCAGGAGTGAAGCGATCCGCGAAGACATGCAGCGCTACGTTCCGGAGGATTTCGATTTCCTGCTGGAGCAGCAACAAAAGCTGATTAACCAAAAGTGTTTCCAAATCTCAGGTCTGGGTTTCAACTCGGGGCGCTATGATGTGAATCTAATCAAGAAGTATTTTATGACCCACCTTGCTTAATCCGGCGAGCGGGGAATGAAAACGTTCGCCGATTGGCTAAAGTATTACAACAACCTGGATGTTGAGCCCTTTCTAGGAGCCCTGGAGTCCATGCAAGGGTTTTACACAAGGCTGGGAATCGACATTTTCAAAGATGCGGTATCGTTGCCGGGGTTTCAATGAAAAATGTGCTGCTGGGCACACTGAACCACAGAGACGCCCCGGAGTTGTATGCCTCAGGCAAGGAGGCCTACGAAATGCTCAAAGGAGTGGTTGTCGTGGGACCGAGCCTGGTCTTTTGTCGAAAGCATGAGGCAGGCAAAACTAGAATCCGTTCACACAAATTCCCATGCACAACCAACCAAATCTGGTTGGCGCCCTTTCAGCAGAAAAAAAATGCTGTATTCCCCGCTGTTGAAATGGTATCTTGACCATGGTTTGAAAATCAGAGCGGTGCATAGAACAGTTGACTATGTGCCTCAAAAGGCTTTTAAGCGGTTTGTGGAGAAAGTCACGGAAAACAGGCGCAAGGTTGACCAAAATACCGAGCTGGCGCTGTTGGCGGAGGTGTTTAAGTTGTTAGGCAACAGTGCATATGGCAAGCTGACCTAAGCCTCGGAAAGGCACATGACAGTGAAGTACACAACAGGCGAGAGCCTCTTGTGGAAAGAGCTGCGCTTGGCGTGGTTTCAAGATTTGTAGGAGTTTGGCGACGTGTACGAAGTCGAGACGCGAAAGCGCAAAGTGGACATCACCGGCCCTTCCAGGTAGGGATAGCGGTCTACCAGATGGCCAAGTTCCGGGTTCTGCAGTACTATTACAACTGTTTGGACAAATTCTTAGACAGGCGTGATTTTGAGCTGATTCAGATGGACACTGAGAGTTTGCATTTTGCGTTATTATGTGATTCGTTGAAAGAAGCAGTGCGCCTCGAGTTGCGGGAGGAGTTCCAAAAATGGAAAAAAAAGAATGATTTGCTTGGACCAAATGGATTGAACGCGAACCCGGGATGTTTAAGCTCGAGTTTGAGGGCACTAGCATGATTTCCTTGTCCAGCAAGTGTTATTACGGAGAGGACGAAAAAGGCAAGATAAAAGCGTCCTCAAAAGCGATGCAAAAACGACAAAACAAATTGCACTAAGACCGGTGCAACGAAGCGCTGGAGGGGAACGTAGATACCGCCACAAACAGAGGGTTGAGAATAAACAAAGGAGTGATGCGCACCTATGAGCAAAAAAAGCTGGGGCTGAGCGCGTACTACGACGAACGCAGGGTTCTGGAGGACGACATCCAGACGGAGCCGATAGAGTGTCACATGGAGGTGAAGAAGTGGGAGCAGGAGCTGTGGGAGATGCCATGAGGGAGACGGCAGCTCGGTGACGGCAGGCACGACAAGAAGATCCCCGCAAACAAAGCCACGCTTGGGGCCGTTCTTCAAATAATACAAAATCGGTTCACTTGGGGTTGGTAATGGTTTTTTTCGATGTCGTACAGTTTCAGATCGGATCTGAGGCTCTTTTCCTTCCGCCCTCAAGTTCACCAGGTTGGTAGAGATAGCGAACAACCGCCGAGAAGGGGATCCACTTTTCACGCCGGCCAACAAGTCTGACGCAAGAAGTCGCAGGCTTGGAATAAACGGCCTTTTCTTTGATGGCCTCACCAGGCTTCTTGCTGGTCAACCGAGTGACTTCACAGTTCAGAGTGGGACCACATCGGGAAGTCGCACCACCCATTCAGAAGATCTTTGGCTCACGGACAGCCTCATTTCGACTGCATACTGGTGCCTGAACAGGCGCGCAGCAAGGATGCGGTTTAATCTTTCGACGATAACCTGGTCTCGGTGAATAACCACCCGCCCACCTCGAATGTTTGATGAGTGTTTTTCGATCTCCTTGGTGACAACACCCACAAATTCCCGTCCAGGATCCACTTGCAAAAACTGTGGCCATTTCAAAGGCCAGCGTTTGTAAATTTTCTGAAAAGTGCTTGACACCTCAGCCTATTCTTTGGAGGTCAACAGTTCAGCCTCTTTGAAACGGCTGGCCACATCGACGACGGTCAAAGCGTATTTGTATGTTTTTTTGAGAATCGGCCAACACGACCCCCGAGATCCATAAAATTTCCGAAAACCAAACCCGCAAGAGGGTTGGAAAAATTTGATCCCTTTCATTCGAGGCATTGTGAGACCCCACCTTTTGCGGCACAAGACCTTTTTGATGATGACGAAGAACAAGCAAGGGCGCCAACCAAGTGGATTGATATTTTAGAAAGACGTGCAGAAGCAACACTTCCACCTCGCCATGAGACCCTGATTGCCGAAATTGCCGGGGAGTTCGAAGAGGAAAGGGGGAGAAGATTCACAAAATGGCGGGTTTTTAATGATGTAAACAAAAATTTGGCGACCTCAGGCATGTTAAGGCATGGGTCACCTCATAATTTGCGTAATTTGGCGACGTGGCATTTGAAACGGATTGTTTTGATCAGTCGTCATGAAACTTGGTAAACAGTTTTAGCTCGGTAGCCTTAACAATATGTGACATATTCATTGTTGAAATATTAGTCACGTGACCTGCAAATGATCGTCAACGGTCAAAATGTTCAAATTCAAACGGGGGAAAGGAAATGAAAGAGCAGCAAATATTCTTAGGCACCAGTGTTTTACCCCTGGCCTGGATATTGGGAAATAGCCCTGCATGTATGCCTAAGTAGAGCAATGATTACGAAATATAGAAAAACAGGTTACGTGACTTATAAAAGACTTTAATAACTCGCAATAAAAATACTTTTATCAACCCAGCAAGGCCAATTGACAATCCAGACAGTTTGGCTGACAATTTGATGACAAGTCTTTTTAGCCTGAAGTTTAACAGCCTTGCATCGTTTGAGAAAAAAGATTTTGTGACGTCATGGTCGAAGGAATGTCACGTGCCGCTTGAGATGAATTTTCCAAAACTATTTTAGAGAGATATATCTTATTATATGATTGTGGAACCCTTTTTCTGGATTCTTCTGCGTCATTAAAAAGATCTTTGCCTTCTCTGTGGGGGGTCTTTTTAGCCTTGCAACCCGTGCCTTAACTTGCCTGAGACGAAAGCGTTTCAGGAGATCGAGAAAACTGAGAGAAACAGTTTTACCATCAAACACAATTATGTCTATCCGCTTCAAAGCATCAGGACGGGGGACACAATGGCCTATTATAAAAAAAGCCTCAGAAGCCCCTGGTTTGACAAAATGTTGGTCGCTAGACTGGTTGAAAGAGCAAGAAGAAAACCGCCTCACGGGTGAAAACATAGATCGCCCTTACACAAAATGAGCTTTTGAGGATCACCTCGTGGATGAGATAAATATTATCGAAGACCCTCAGGCTCCTTTGCACGTTTGCCCGATTGGCCTCGAAACAAAAAGGGTTTGTCGGTGCTGGATACGTACCCCGACGATTTCTGTATTTTTAGATGTCTTGCTGTTCATCAACGGACCGACGATTCAATAAAAGACAAACTCGTGAGATTGCCGAACGTTTTTTCGCTAACATCAAGTTCGAGGGCATCAAATTCACAAAGGACATTTCCCTTTGATCAAAAACCGTTTTCATCAGGGGCTTACTCGTTAAAAGGTTACCGACGACGGCACCTATTTTCCCTCGCGTTTTAATAGACTTGTAACCCCCGAGATGAACATTGGTCTTTACCAACACCACGCTTTTCTAACCACAAATCTTAATAAAGTGACAAACCATTATGCTTGTGCCGAGTGTTAAGCTAGATTTACGCAAGGTCCGCAAGTTGGCAGCTTGTGACGACATGCAGAGGTTTGAACAAGAGGAGCCACGAAAGTGGTGTGCCGAGAAGAGAAAAACTGGTCACCCGAAACAGCATATCAAAGAGCGTTTTATGGGAAGAGGGCTTTTGCTGGAAAGGCGTTAAGGTGGATGGAGCACGAGGCCCGACGGCGGGGTATGCATATTAATCAGCAAATTTCTGGCCATGGTGGGGAAAAGGTCATTGCTGGCTATCGAGTGAATGATTTTTGCCTGGAAACAAACACGGTGTTCCAGTTCCACGGGTGTCATTGGTATGGCTGTCCCAAGTGATATCCAACACCCCGAAAGAAATTGGTCGCTTTCGAAAAAACCAAGCAAGTAAACAAAAATTAACAAGAGTTATGCAGTATGCACGAGCCCTGGAAAGAACAAAGGCGATTCTTGAAGCGGGATTTGAATTGGTTGAGTGTTGGGAGCACGATTTTCATGAAAGCACAATTTATTTAAAAAAGAACACGGAAACCTTTCCGCACGCCATGGTTTACGATTTCGTCGCGTGGCTGGACAAAAGCAATTAACTCAAACAGGTAACAAAAGACCTGCTGTTTCCAAACGAGTAAGTGCCCGCGTCTGTTTCGCTAGGAGATACTGAAGACAGAGAGCCAGAGCATATCGCCAGCAAAGATCCGCAAGGGAAGTACTCGAACGCAGGAGTGAAGCGATCCGCGAAGACATGCAGCGCTACATCCCGGAGGATTTCGATTTCATGCTAGAGCAGCAACAAAAGCTGATTAACCAAAAGTGTTTCCAAATCTCAAGTCTAGGTTTCAACTCGGGGCGCTATGATGTGAATCTAATCAAGAAGTATTTTATGACCCTCCTTGGTCAATCCGGCGAGCGGGGAATGAAAACGTTCGCCGATTGGCTAAAGTATCACAACAACCTGGATGTTGAGCCCTTTCTAGGAGCCCTGGAGTCCATGCAAGGGTTTTACACAAGGCTGGGAATCGAGATTTTCAAAGATGCGGTATCGTTACCGGGGTTTCAATGAAAAATGTGCTGCTGGGCACACTGAACCACAGAGACGCCCCGGAGTTGTATGCCTCAGGCAAGGAGGCCTACAAAATGCTCAAAGGAGTGGTCGTCGGGCGACCAAGCCTGGTCTTTTGTCGAAAGCATGAGGCAGGCAAAACTAGAATCCGTTCACACAAATTCCCATGCACAACCAACCAAATCTGGTTGGCGCCCTTTCAGCAGAAACAATACTGCTGTATGCCCCACTGTTGAAATGGTATCTTGACCATGGTTTGAAAATCAGAGCGGTGCATAGAACAGTTGACTATGTGCCTCAAAAGGCTTTTAAGCGGTTTGTGGAGAAAGTCACGGAAAACAGGCGCAAGGTTGAACAAAATACTGACAGTTTGTATTTTGCGTTATCATGTGATTCGTTGAAAGAAGCAGTGCGCCCGGAGTTGCGGGAGGAGTTTCAAAAATGGAAAAAAAGAATGGTTTGCTTGGACCAAATGGATTGAACGCGAACCCGGGATGTTTAAGCTCGAGTTTGAGGGCACTAGCATGATTGCCTTGTGCAGCAAGAGTTATTACGGATAGGACGAAAAAGCCAAGATGAAAGCGTCCTCAAAAGCGATGCAAAAACGACAAAACAAATTGCACCGGTGCAACGAAGCGCTGGAGGGGAACGTAGATACCGCCACAAACAGAGGGTTGAGAATAAACAAAGGAGTGATGTGCACCTATGAGCACAAAAAGCTGGGGCTGAGCGCGTACTATGAAAAACGCAGGGTTCTGGAGGACGACATCCAGACGGAGCCGATAGAGTGTCACATGGAGGTGAAGAAGTGGGACCAGGAGCTGTGGGAGATGCCATGAGGGAGACGGCAGCTCGGTGTCGGCAGGCACGACAAGAAGATCCCCGCAAACAAAGCCACGCTTGGGGCCGTTCTTCAAATAATACAAAATCGGTTCATTTGGGGTTGGTGATGGTTTTTTCGATGTCGTACAGTTTCAGATCGGATGTGAGGCTCTTTTCCTTCCGCCCTCAAGTTCACCAGGTTGGTAGAGATAGCGAACAACCGCCGAGGAGGGGATCCAGTTTTCACACCCGCCAACAAGTCTGACGCAAGAAGTCGCAGGCTTGGAATAAACGGCCTTTTCTTTGATGGCCTCACCAGGCATCTTGCCGGTCAACCGAGTGACTTCACAGTTCAGAGTGGTACCACATCGGGAAGTGACACCACCCATTCGGAAGATCTTTGGCTCACGGACAGCCTCATTTCGACTGCATACTGGTGCCTGAACAGGCGCGCAGCAAGGATGCGGTTGAATTTTGGACGATGGCCTGGTCGCGGTGAATATCCACCCGCCCGCCTCGAATGTTTGATGAGTGTTTTTCGATCTCCTTGGTGACAACACCAACGAATTCGCGTCCAGGATCCACTTGCAAAAGCTGTGGCCATTTCAAAGGCCAGCGTTTGTAAATTTTCTGAAAAGCGCTTGACACCTCAGCCTATTCTTTGGAGGTCAACAGTTCAGCCTCTTTAAAACGGCTGGCCACATCGACGACGGTCAAAGTGTATTTGTATGTTTTTCGGTTCCGGCCACGCCCCACAGGGTTGTGCGGAAGAAAAAGAAGGTCTGCCTGGCGTGGGCACATGGAATTTGGGGCGAGAAATTTGTTTTGGGGAAGGAAGATAGATTTGCCAAAGGGCTTGGCGTATCAGGCATTTTTTGCGCCATTTCGGAAACTTTTGCAGGAGCGGCGTGCGTTTTGATGGCGGCGATGTCTTTCCAGTAGCCTTGAGGGCTGTAGTAAATTTTTGAAAGCTTAGCTTCCACTTCCTTCTGAGAATCGCTGTTGGTGAAAACGTGGCATTTCACATTTCTTGAGCCAGGAACACAACGTCTGTGGTGTTAACAAGACGGGACGCCACTGCCTTGCTTTGTGGTGTCCGCCATGGAGCGAAGGTCGATAAACAACTGATTTTGAGCCGGCTGTCCGTGGATTTTGCAAATGTCACCACCTCTTCTCGCATTATACGATCGTATGAGAACTCCTTGCCGCTATTGTGCACGCTGGTTGCCTCTTTTTCCAATGTATTGCTGCGGATGTTCTCATACTCCAACTTAATGTTTATCAGTATTTTTGTGTAAAATTTTCATTTCTCGACGCTTTTTTTGCGCTGAATATGGCAAAGACGGCAAATTCCTTACCTTTGACATTTCAAAAAGGGGAAAAGTTCCAAAAATGGAAAACTTGTGGTTATTGGCCATAAAGGACGCAAAACTACACTTTTCACGGAAGATGGAGAGATAAACCTCACGTTGCCAAAAGCAGTAATAAAACATTTCCCGGGCCAGAGAAGTTGGTGGTAATTCAACAAAAAAATTATCAAAAATTCTGAACTTGACAGAGAAATCCAACAAGATCTGGAAATTGCAAAGGTCGAAAATAAAACATCCGCTAACCATTAAAGAGCTCGTGAAAAAGCCGCGGAAAAATGCAACAGCGGGACCGGCTTATCAATGAGAAAGAACGCCTTGAAGAAGCGCTTTCGCTAAGTGAACGCATCAAAGAGATGCTCAAAATTATGGCATCACTGTCACTGCCACTGTCCTTGGAGCCGGGACTGTCATTGGCGCTGTTATAGGGGCGATAACAAACTCTTAGCAAAGGCATAGGGAAAGTTCTGAAGGGGATTGGCAAAAAAACAGCGTCCAATTTTCCCGGACTCATCAGCTCGACCGTTATCCTCATTTTCAAAACTGCGGGGCAGGCCATCTCCTTTCTGCCGGAACACACTTGGCTGTTGATGGTTGCTGCAGTCGCCTTTCTGATGGAACGGTTCATCAACAACAACAACAGTTTATTCGATTGCCAAAAAATTTAAGTCTATGTTACCCACAATTAGCGGAGCTATTCTAGGTGGGCAACAATACAACAATTTACTCCTATAAAGTCGGCGAAAGAACGTAAGTAAAGAGAAAGCAAAAACAAAATGAAATAAATAAATAAATAAAAGGTAGCACCTATAGGTATAAGGAAGGAAAACTCTTTAACTGACTAAGGGGTTCAGGTTGAATGGTACTCATATCAACATACACCTTGTTAGTCTCCAAAACCTTGATCAGTAATTTATGTAGTTCGCGCTTGAGTCTTTGCACTAATCACGTAACTTAAGAGGAATTTTCTTCCAAATTTTTACACCCTTTCTGGAAAAAGATAATAATAGCTGATTGAGTCTAGATCTGTGGACATAAAGATTATCTGCGGCAGAAAATCTGATATAATGAGAGTGGATCATGTTAGAACAGACGAACAATTCAGAAATTTTAGAATCAACCGCTTCCGAACAGACCTGTAAAAAGAAGTGCTCCCACAGCAATAAGCATCTTGTTTATGTCGTGGCTTGTGGCCGCTGGGGCTGGATCGGGTGGCGAGAAGGTGGTGGGAGAAAGGGGCGCCTTCTTTTTTTGCGCTTTTATTACTTAATTTAATTTATTAATTTTTGACGGACCTCCGTCCATGAGACGCAGCCCCACTTTTTTGTCTGTGTTTACGTTGTTTATCCCGAGCTTTATGTCTGGCGTTGGCTGCATGATTTTGTTGTTGCAGCCGGCCACTCTTTCTGTGTTTATCACCATTCTCGTAGGCAGCAGCCAACCCCCAGGTTTCAACGCGAAATTCAAACGCGCCTTGTTTCGTCCAAAGCCAGTTGGTATCGCTGCACACTCTTGGCCAGGTCTGCGCTCATTAGCGCGGCCACCATCACCCATAATGGTGCTGCGCCTATTAACTTGAGCCCCGAGAATGTAGTACACGAAGGCCTTGATTGACTTATTCAAACGTGACTGCCCTGCCTGCGAGAGCCCGCCTTGTCGGGCACGCACAAAGTAATCAAACTGATGGTCTTTGTTTCCTTAATTTCTCATAAAAGGGACCAGTTTTCCCTGACTGGGTTTGTCCCCTTCATTGGCAAACTTGGCGCGCAAGCTGCGATAGCCCATGCCTGTGGATGTTGGGCCATATCTGGAAACATAAATGAAGACATTCCTAAGCCCATAGTTTGCGCCGTGCGTGAAACGAAATTCTGTGGTTACACGGGGTGAAATATGGTGTTTCCGCAATTCGGAAATGTTGCGGAAACCTGATGGTTCAAAATTTCGTTGCGTTTCCGCACGGCGGTTTCGACGGGAAACGTGTAAGTTGGAAATGGACGCATTGTTTCGTGTTTCCGTAGCGCTTTCGTTGACTTAAACGTGTCAGCTCGTTTCCTTTGAGTTTCCGCAAGCGGTTTTGTACTGAAATTTGCTGGTTTTCATGATCAATCACCCTGGTTTCTCATTTTATAAAATTTGTTTTAACTGTACTGATTACGCTTGAGGCAAGATGAGGAATCATTGTGATGGCCTAAAATTTTCGAAAGGACAGAGATAATCGCTTGCGCTAAACTACACGTCGTAAATACTGGAAAAGTGATAGATGATTCCCTCTGTCTTCCTTTTCTAAGAGATTAAAAGATCTGTTATTAAAATTATTAGCGCTCCAAACATCGAAGCGTAATTTAAAACAATTTAGAAACAGCAAAATAAATTATAGCGGAGCTCCACACCTAAGGAAATCTACCCATCCCAGAAAATTTGGTAATCACGTGACCGTACACCGCCCGTCCGTCCACACCACAGGGCACCAATGTTCAATCTCATACTTCCTAGCTAGTTTGGGAGCACGGGAAAACTGATAATGCACACATTTTGGACACCAACGTTGTGATCAATTGACAGCTGTCGAAAAAGGGGATCCGCTGACTAGTATCACTTGACTGTATCGCGGGCTCAGGTGCTGACCCATCAAGGTCAGTATTTTTTAAAGTTATCCGCTGACAAGTTACTAGTTTTCAAGCGATCGCAGGCTCAAGTATAATTTTTTTAAAAAAATTCATATTCACATAATTAAAATTTTGACTTCAAACTGACCTCGGATGCGAAAATCCAGCCAGCTATGCAAGGAAGACAGTTGCTTTTAACCATCCGTCCTCACCACAGGAAAACCAATGCTTACTTTCACACTTTCTAACCACTTTGAGAGCCCAGGAGAAAACTGATTGCTCATCAATGTTGTGATCAATCATGGATACTTTTAGAGCTTCTCGTCGTCATCTTTGAACAACTCGGCCCTGATTGGTCAAAATTTGACAGAAAATTTATGCAGCATCTTGAATCTTGTTTACTTTGACGGCTGAAGCTGACAGAGTTTTGTGTCAACTTGTGATTTTTTTAACTGTCTTTTTCTACTGGATGTACAAAAAATGAAATACAGCTGCTATCAAGAGTATTCTGTTATTCGTGGCTAGCTTGTTTATTGGTTTTTTGGTTGAGAGATGCGTCGCTTGTCAAAGTCGGAAATCCGATTTCGGATGGTATCGTTTTCGTTTTTCACCTTGCTTGATCATGAAAACTCTGAGGCGATACTGGCCTTACTTGATACCTTTCAGGAGCTGCATCTCGAATGGTAATGTATTTGATGTTTGTTTTTTATATCTAATTTAATGAAGTCAAGCGTAGTTTATGCGGCTATTTAGTTTATGCACGTTTGTAAGATTTGAGACAACAGGGCCATTTAAACGAGGAAAAATAAGACGCGTCTTAAATAAGACGCGAACTGTACCATTTATACGAGCATGTCTTATCTAATAAGACGCGTCTTATTTTAGACGAAATGTGCCGTTTATACGGAAAGTTCGCGTCTTATTTTTCCTCGTATAAACGGCCCTATTGATCTGACCGAGCATCAGGTTTGTTATAAGCTCACAGAACTTAAAAAAGTCTTTAGACATCTTCTCACCGCAAATAGAGAGAAAACGTTTCAAAGAATATTTAGTAATAATCCTAGCTTTAAAAGAAAACTTTGAGCGATTTTCTTGCGTCGAGTTCATCTTTGAAAATAGCAAACACCGGGAAGCCGGCTTTTAAGCTTAAGCTTGAAGACTCAGGATTCTTAGAGACACTTTAATACGTTTCTCCGTGAATGAAAATTGTTGTCTGTGTATATGTTTCACCGAATTATATTTCTTTTATTGATTGTTAGTAGTCTCTATTGTAATTTTAATCGCTGTGCCGTTTGTTTTCAGTCGTTCAGTGTCAACATCGCTTTCACCAGTACTCAAACTGCCGCGCGTATCAAACGCTTTTGCAGATTACACATTACGGTGGCCCACAAGTGCACACCGAATTCCAGAAAGTCACACCGAATTCAAATAACTCACACCGAATTCAAATAACTCACACCGAATGCAAATAACTCACACCGAATTCAAATAACTCACACCGAATTCAAATAAGTCACACCGAATTCAAATAAGTCACACCGAATTCAAATAACTCACACCGAATTCGAATAAACTCACACCGAATTCGAATAAACTCACACCGAATTCAAATAACTCACACGAATTCAAAT